GCGCGGCGGCGAACTGCCGAGTGCCGAATTGTAGCGATGCAAATTAACTGGTCTTATTGGGTGCGAAGACAGTCACCACTCGCGCCCATTCGTTTCTCGACCCGACCTGTGTCTTGCCCCACTGGATTTCGTCAATGGCAGGAAACCCGAATGGAGCTTTCGTCTCCGGGCGTCTGACGGTTCATACACCACCACCTTGCACAACCTAGGCGTGAACCCAGGGATAATTTTTCCAAGAACGAGGTAGGCTGTTTGTAACAGCCCGGAATGCTCTCTGAGAGTCACCAGAACGGAGATCTACTCCGCCTGCAGATCGACGACACATATTAGCGTCTTCACCCCAGTTGTGCGTGCACCATGGTTTTGTCGCGGCGGATTTCTGTTTTTTTTCGCCATTACGCTAGCATTGCTGCTGTCGCCTGCTGCGTCGAGGCGGCCCAGCAAGGGGCAGCTGATTGCGGAGGTGAAGAAGGCCCGAGACGCGCTCAAGAACCCTAAGCTGAAAGGCCGATATCGCGCCAGCGGCGTGCTTCTTGACCGCCTCATCCCTCAACTGGGTACCGTGATGCACTCGTCTATTCTGTGGGATTTGCACATCTTTTTCTCCCTTTTCCAGAAAATAAATAAATATATAAATAAAAATCAAAACAACAACTTATGTTTGACGTTACTATCTTCTTTCGTACTTCCTTTATTTCTTATATTTCTCTCTGCTGCAGAGACCAACTGGAACCCAACAGACGCGTTCCTCACCTCAGCCGATGGCAAAACCGTTCTGCTACCCGAAGACAGCGCAATCAAATCCGCAGTCCCTAATGCCATGTACAACATGGTGAAGCCAGATCTGAAGCGCCAAGAACTTCGGTCCTACGCTTCGTGAATTCGTTCGAATATTCTTGACGGGGTCTTAGTAGAGGAGAATGACATTGCTACCGCCAATGTGTTACGGGACGACAATGGTCGCAAGGTGGACATGGCTGTGACACTGACACCCAACGGCTTGGGTGGTTGGATGAGGAAGATTCGCATCGGAAAGGCCAAGGCAAAAATCAAGCAACCCAAGCTGGCCAAGGCAAAAATCAAGCAACCCAAGCTGTTTAGGGGGAGGTTTTTCGTTATCCATGGTGTGGATGGGGTGCAGATGCCGCAGTAATTCTTTGAGTAGACTAAAAAAAATAAGCGCGCCAAGCTGTTCAAATGTAGGTTTTTCGTTGTCCATGGCGTGGATGGGGTGCAGGTGCCGCAGTGATATAGTAATCTTCTGTCAGCTGCTTTTGGGTTTGGCAGGGTGAAGAGGGAGAAATTCTTGTTTAAATTCTACCGCATGTCTATCATACCGCATGTCTATCATATAATCAAGGACCGTCATGCCAAAAAAGCAGCCAACAGACATGATTTGGAAGCCTACTTCTGAGTGGATGGTTGTGTTCTTCAGGCTCCTTGGTCAAATCTGCTCCACATCCTCCCATTGCTCAGCATTCTCTGCTCTGTGCCGCCCTGGTCCTGGATACCTTCATGAAGGTCCTAGATGTCTCATTTCAACAACGGTGCGCTTCGTCGGTCGGTTTGTCATCTCACATGCCAGCCGTTCACCTGCAGAGACTAGAATCGCTTCCTTGGAGCCAGAGGAGTGGCGGGTGATGGGAGAGCAGTGGGTGCAGATGGGAGAGCAGTGGGTGCAGATGGGAGAGCAGTGGGTGCAGATGGGAGAGCAGTGGGTGCACATGGGAGAGCAGTGGGTGCACATGGGAGAGCAGTGGGTGCACATGGGAGAGCAGTGGGTGCAGATGGGAGAGAAGCGGTGCAGATGGGTGATGGCTGCTACGGTGAGCAGCTTGACGCTGTTGCCTGGGATGTCTCGGTTGATGAATGGAGAGCAGTGCAGTAAGTACACTTTTTCATCTCCATGAAAGCAGCTTATGCGCTGCTGCTGTTGCCAGGCAAGACAGCGCAGCCCAGTCAAGCCTAGCCCAACACAGCGCAGCAGGGCACCCCACAGCACATATCAGCACAGCACAGCACCGCACAGTACCGACCTTGTTGACGAGGATGGCAGCGTTCTTGCCCACGTCCAGCACCCTCTTGCGCAGGGCGTCCACTTGACAGTTTACCTGGTGGGCAGCACAGGGGTGGGCAGCACAGGGGTGGGCAGCACAGGGGTGGGCAGCACAGGTGCAAACGGCACGCCGAAACCCCCAGGGTAAAAAATGGTTGAAAGCATTGGCACCAGAATGAAGAGCACCTGGCGGACAGCGCACACAGATGCAAGGATTATCATTAGAAGCTAGAGGTTGGGGGAAAACAGTCGAAACCATCAGCACTGGAGTGAACGGGTGGGAGGGCAAGTGGGTCAGGACTCAGGCGGGCACAGTGAGAAAGGTTAGGCCAGACAATTACCCATTTCTGCCAATCTATAGCAAAGAAGAATGTGAACAACAAAGCTGCTATTTGTCTGAGCACCCCCGATACATTCTCATCCTTTTCACCCCTTCTCACCCTTCTCACCCTTGTTCACCTCCTCAACTGCTGGCCCTGGTGAGTGAAGCCCCTCACAGGCCCCTTTGCAGTGCACAGGTGGAGGAAGGGAAGGCCAGGGCGGGTTACGCAGGCACAGGTGGAGGAAGGGAAGGTCAGTGCAGACGGTTAGATACCATGGAGATAGGTGCCTATCAGACCGTCTGACCAGCAGCAGATATTCCCCGCCTGCTGATCACAACCCATCAAATACACTCTCAACTACTCACCTCTTCTCACCGTTTCACACCTCCTCAACCGTTGGGTCAGGTGAGGGAAGGCGCTCACAGCCCTGGGCTCAAGGAAGGAAGAGCGGCCAGGAGGAGGTCTGCCTGTTCACACGGCGCATGTGCATTGGGTCGCCCCTCTCCCATACGCCTGCCAACGCCACCATCGCAACACGGGATGGCCTTTGCGTCAGAGGGGATTAAGAACGACCTGAACAGAACAGTCCAGTGTGAGAACAACGCGTTAAGAGCGAGGGAGAAAGGATCACTATCCGCACACCGCTACCCCCGCCACTCATCGCTACCCCCGCCACTCATCGCTACCCCCGCCACTCAGTGGCACGTGCGGAACCAGCACAAATTTGTTGCCAGCACTGCGCCGCCAGTCGCCTCTGCTTGTGCGCACGGGCTTGGTGCAGCGCAGCGGTAGAGGGTCAGAGGGATGGGAAGAGGGAGGGACAGAGAGATGGAGAAAGGATCACCACCATGCACCCGTATCTGCAAGCACCAAGCCGCTCACCTCTGCTTGCTCACAGCAAATGTGGGTCCCATGCGCTCGTCTCTGCCGCCGCCGCTCACCTCTGCTCGCGCGCACGTGCGTGGAACGCGTGACGTTGCGCCGTGCCACTGATTTCAGGAGCGGGCGACACAACGGTAGTGTTCAGCGGCGGAGATTGCGTTGGATTCAGCGCTCGTGACCCGGAAGCTGGCAGGAAGGGGAGGCGCGGATTAACAACGGACTGGAACGGGCAGCGAGAGTGGGAGAGAGATGCAGAACGAGTCGGTGCCTGCGATACCGGCGACATGCGTGGCGACGGCACGCGCTGCGGCGACATGGGGGGCGAAAACTGTAGTAGCGGCGACACAGCACCAGTCGCGGCACAACCATTCCGTTAATTTCTTGTCACCGTGCGACATCGCTTAAGCGACGCTCGACGTCGGCGGCGATGGCGACGACCCCGACGAAGCCGAGACGAGCGGGTAGTCGCCTGTGGCTGCCGAGTCGCCAAGGTACACGTGTCGGCCAGCAATTGCATGGAGCGCGAGTGCTAGGGTTTCGGCTCCTAACCTGGTTCCTGGGGAGCGACGCTCGCGTCGGCTCTAGGTGGAGGCATGTGAGCTCGGTTGAAGCGGACAGACCGACGAAGCGCGCGGATGCTGGGATGAATGAGAGAGACGGCTAAAGTGGGAGGAGGTCGAGCCTGTGATTGTGGGAATTAGTTGAAAATATGAGAGAAAACAATCGAAGGGTCTCTAACATGGAGCTCAATAAGGCGTACATTCAGGGTAGTTCTTGGCCCGTATCTAGCTTGGTGTCAGATCGCGTTCACAGGAAGTTCCCCCAAGGCGACCGCGCTCAACAACAGTGCACAGATATTTGTGAAGCACGTGTTCGGGGTTGCTACACGAAAATTTGTTCCGAACGATATTGAAGTTTCTGGGGTTACATGCACGTGATTGGGTCTGTTACTTCGCTCAAACTCGTCTATCAATGTATCCACATTCGTATGGCACGTGGAGTGGGTGTGGTCGGTTGCAAAACTGCCACGCTGGACAGCATATTCCTCTTTTTGGGACTTTTGAGCGCGGTTTGCCTTGGGGGGACTTCCTGTGAACGTGATCTCAGGCTCCTGAGGGAGGTCTGACACGAAAAAAACGATTTTGCCCCATGCCTGTCTATTTTACCTCGTGTCAAGCAGCTTGGCCCGAAGTTTGACACGGGCCAGAACGCACCCTCACCAATACATTATTTTTTTACGTGGTTGGACTCGTTTTATGCGTCTGGTCACTAAAAATTGGCGAATCACGCGAATGTTAATTAAGTGAAACCGTCACTTAAAGTGACATTGACTCCAAGGGTTTGATGGGCCAAAGATGTCACGTGTTTATACACCAGGTGGTGAATTCGTAAAACAAAACCGGTGTACTATGGCCGAGTTTGGGTGTACCAAGCACTCCCACTGTTGTGCCCTGGACGAAAATTTCGGTGTGTTGTGTAACTGACAGCAGCATTTTGCGGTAGCTCTAACCTTGTGCAGCAGGTGCCACCTCGGCACTGGCCCAAGGCGCGCACATTTGCGCGAGCTGACGTGCACTAGCGCACACTAAGCTGGAGCGACTGCGACACACCAGGTTTGCGCGAGCTGCAGCACGTGTAGCATCCAAACCACACACTCGTGTTCCATTCCGCAGCTGGCAGGTGTTCCGAAGCCAGCTGGAGCCGTCCCGCAGGCACACGAAGATACCGCAGTGTACTGTATGCCCGCTACGGACGAAGGAGGTACGGGCGTTCAGGAAGTACGCAATGTTCTACAAGGCACTGGTCGGCGTCGCAAAGCACACGGAGCAGACGCTGCGTGATGTCCGCACGGCTGCCTACGCGTGAGTGCCGGGGGGGGGGGGGGGGGGGGGGGGGGGGAAGAGGACGGGTTGGGGTGGCAGGGGGTTGTAGGGGTAGGGGGGGGATGCCATTGGTGGGTGGGTGGGGAGGGTGGGGGGGTGGTGGAAGAGAAGTACGCAGGGCTGGTGTAGGAATAGTGGTATCTGACAGTGTGGGCGGGGGATTCGGGACCCCCTGTTGTGTGGGTGTTAGCAGCACGTGCGCCTGTCGTGGCACGTGTTGTGGTGTAGAGGAGGGGTAGGGAGGGGGGTCGGACGACTCGGTGTGGTTAAGAATTGGGTTTTTTCGATAAAGACAAGGTATGCTCTACGTGTTATGCCACTGTGTGGGTGCATGCTGAACTGTTCTGCTTGCAGGATGATGGACGCTATCGGGAATGCTTTTCCGGATCAGAAGTCGTTGTAGAACTTTCCGAAGGTGCACCAGATTGTGCACCTTATTGATGCCATTCCCCTCCGGGGGATGCCGTGGGAGTACTCCACCAACCTCTGGGAGCACACGCACAAGGGAACGGTGAAGGTCCCGGTCAGGGGCAGCAACTGGAAGGACATTCCACGACGCATCGTGGAAGAAGAAGTGCAGCGAGAGATCACTCGGGAGGTGGCGGCTCTGGCGGGGGGCGGGGGGGGGCGAGAGTACGTGACGGCGTTGCGCGAGGTGAGCAGGGCCCACCACCGCGAGGCCATGGGGTTTTTTTATTTGAGGACGCGCAGGATGAGTGGAGAATGTGCTATCTAGACGAGGGTGATGAAAATGCATGTTGCGGGAGGGGGGGGGGGGGGGATTACAAACGGTTTGGCCTTGGGGAGAAGGGCAGGGTTGTATTATTGTGGGGCATTGAGATGTGTGCTGTGTATGCTGTTGTGCGTGTACAATCTGGCGTGTGTTGTTGAACCCATGTGGACATCACGGCAGGCCGTCCGACTTCAAGGGCACGTGCTGACGCGGCGGTCGCGATGTGCCGATGTGCGGAACGAAGAGGACCCCGTGCTGTGGGTGTATCGTGAGGCTCTTGGTTCGGACATGGATGTGCTTGGAAGATGTCTCATTGATGCCGGGGTGAACACCCCGGACATCAAGGTGAGATGTACTGTGGTGTAGGTGCAGTGTACGCGTAAATATCTTGTACAACGCACGGCGGTGTGCAAGCAGGGGATACAGCTGCCGGAATGTGATGGGTGGTGCCGTCTCATGACCGGAGTGCTCTGTTGCATGTGTTATGTAGGTGCTCACGGCGCTGGCGATTCCAAGAACACGTGGAGGGGAGCTGGTGGCCAAGGGCACATTTGTGAAGGCCAGCCCATCTGAGAACTGGTTCTCAGATGTGGCAGTGAAGGCTGAGGAGAAGAAAGAGAAGGAGAAGTCGAAGGAGAAGGAGTGGTACGCAAGGTGCTTGTGCGTGTTCCGTGCGAAGAACGCAGAAGGAGAGGAAGGGGCGTACGTGTACGTCAAGTATTATGAGGCGGCGGGCCTATGCCCAGTCACTACATGTGTGCAGCTGACGCCTGGGAGGGTGGACAGCCGGTACGCTGTGGTGGACGTGGAGTGCATCAAGCGGGTGGTGCACGTGTGCAAGCCTTACGTCAACAAGAAGGTGCTGCTGCTGAACAAGTTCCTGTTGTGCGAGTAGTTGGTGAGGTATGAGGTTGGACGCGCTCACGGACGTGCCTATCTGGTTATTAGTGGCTAACTTGTTAATGTTCTTGAAGCACGTAGAGTAGGTTGTGGCGTGATAAGTTATTAACATAGGTGCTCGGGGAGGATGATGTTATTGAGACTGTTAACGTCGTGGTCATGAACAAAGAGTTGAGGGGTAGTGTACAATTATTCAATGTGGTGTGTTGAAGCGAGGGTGTCTGAAATGCGAATGTTTGGGCGCGGAAGTTCTTGTTTTGACGGGCCGCGCTCAGTTTACCGGGGGCGACTCGATGTACATGTGAAATTTGCGGTCCGAGGGTGGAGGGAACGGGAATGTGGGCATGCGGGTGTGCGTGACATTCCTGTCACAAAATTGGTGGGACAAATATGGTGGGTTTGGGGACTTTATGTAGAGTTTTTCGTAGAAAACCCCACGGAGGCCAAATTTGGGCGATCGACATTTCCGCGATGTGCTACTGGTGGGTCAGGCAATGCAGGGAAGAAGGGCAACGGAAATGGCTTTTACTATCCCCCACCTTGTCACATGATGGGAGGTACCGGTACATGACAATTTTCAGCTGATGTTAGACGGTTTCTTATCCTTTATCTGGGGGCTGCAACCATTCATCCACTAACGTGCATAGTATCATCTACACAAGTGCAATACACTTAACTTAAAGTAACATTCCTGCAAAAAGGCGTCACGAAGGAGGCCTCCTCACAAGCAAAAGAGCCTAAAACTTCACAGCTTTAGTACTCCCTCGGCTGCACCGGATCCTGAAGTGGCCCAGTGAGTAGCTGGTTCACTTCCGAAAGATGAGGTCCCGGGATCAAATCCCCCCTGCGGCGTGTTCTGCCAGCCCCCAAAAGGGGCTACACAGGTGCTCATCTGGGAGTGGATAGAACAACCTCGTTGACCCAGCGAGGAGTGTAAACAAATGGGGAGGCGGGTTACGACCGACAGCCAGGTGTGGTTAACACCCAGAGGGGTTTCCCCCCCTCCTTAAACCCTCGGCTGCACCGCATCTACGCCATGCATGATAAAAATATTCCCTCTGAAAATCGTGGGAACCCTAATCGTTGCCCTGGCCTTCCCGATGGCCACCTTCATCGTCCCAGTCCTGGTGTCGAAGACCTCGGTCCTATTCATGCTGTTGCCATTCGCGTTCTTCAGCTGTGGGGCGCTCTTGATGTCTTGCTCCTGGTAGAACACCCCGTCCAGCATGTTGGCGCGAATCCAGTTCCCGTACGGGATAACGTCGCTGGGCTGTGGCTTGGGGGTCGTCAATGTGGATGTGACGGCGTCAGGCACCACGGAAGCAATGACCGCATCCTCGGGTAGCAGGACGGTTTTCCCCTCGGTTTTGGCGAGGTAATCGTCGGTTGGGTTCCAGTCGGTCTCTGCATCACGGAGAAGGAAATGTTTAATGCAGATGAGAAACAATGCACGAAGGCAAGCATGACCAGACACGGCAACAAAAAGCCTCGAGGCTGTTAGGGGAAAAAGAGAATAAATAAGAAGCATAATGAATCTGCTGTGCATGCTGTTGCGTGGGAGTAGCATCATTTTACCCAGAACCAGGATGAGGCGGTCCATGAATGCGCCGCTGCTCTGGTATTTTCCGTTCAGCTTGGGGTCACTGAGAGCAAGGCGAGCCGCCTTGAACTCGTTGATCAGATCCTCCTTGCTGGGCCGCGCGGAAGCCGACGCCAGCAGCAATGCGAGCGTGTAGATGGCGGCGAGAATCGAGAGGTGCTTTGACGGCGCCATTGTGCCAGCGTGTGCAGAGTACTCTAAGTTTCCAAAGCGGGAGCAGGTAAGTAGAAAAATACTTCAGCATAGAAGATCCCAGCGGAATTCGGTCGACGGAGCCAGATTGCCAGGGTCGACGAGGGGGGTCGACGGAAGGGGGCCCGACGAGGCGGGCGACTGACGCGCGTGCGGGCCCGCCAGCCTGGCCCGGGGCCGGGCCGAGCGCACGACCGCCGCCCCGCAAAACCCCCCCCCGGAAGTGAACAGCGACCCACGTTACCGGGTGGGGGCGGCGAGCTGGCGAGACCTCGCGCGAGGGAAAGTAACCCCGGCGCGAAGGCAGCCCACCCGTCCCTCCTGCCCGCGAGGTCCTAGTAACCCATCGCGGCCTGCCCGTACGGGCAGGCGAGGCCCGTGCGAAATTCGGGGGCTCCCCTCGGGACGATCGGCGATTTCGCGACCCGTTGCGGTGACGCCACGTGCCCGCCCGTCGTTTCGCATCGTTTTTTCTATGCATGCGACATTTCGTACCCGCCGAAAATCGAGCGAACCCCTGGGTCGCTCGCACCAAGGCGAACATTTTTCGCGACCCGCTGCGAAATCGACACGTGGTGCCGAAACGTCGCACCGCGTGCATGCGAATTTGCGTCCCCTGGCCGACCGGGGCCGGGTGACGTGACGTCGACCTGCTGGCTCGGCGGCGAGGGTGCACTTGTGCCACGCCACCCGTGCACGAGCCCTGCCGAGCCAGGGACCACGGCCCCCTGGGCGACGCTCAACCGGGCCTGCGAGGCTCCGCCTGGCTTTTCCTCGTCGGAGGTGGCCTGGCCCTTCATTTTCGCGTTCTCGTTTCTCTTTCATGTTCTTTCCTAGCTCTGCGCCTTCCATTCTCCCACCGTTTCTTCCCTTAGCCCGTAGCATAGCATCCTCGCTCTCCCGCCATGGCGGCCGACCAGAAAGCCGACGAAGCGACGCCGACCTCGCGCGACTTCCCCCTGTATCTAAGCGTCGGTAGAGGACTCACATCCAAGTTCGAGGAACACGACTACGCCGTTCTGACAAACCCTATGCTAGAGTTTAACGCCCGTTGCTTGGGACTCGGCCTCAAGTGAGTGACGTATGGGGATGTCGGCGTCGTTATTTCATGCTGGTGATAGCCCTAGCGTGGTTTCATAATACCCGTCTTTTAGGTCGACGGACTCATGGGTTAGGGATTAGGGATGTCGATCACATCGGTGGCGCCGACGTAAGGTGTCTGGTCGGCGTAGGCGATGCGTTGTGCCATATTCATTCGGCTCTCGTCGAATCCCCGACCCGTCGTGTTATTGCCGCAACCGTAGTATCTGCCGGCGTCCCGACCACATCCTCACGCACTCCTCCTGATCATGCATGCGTGCAGGCACGCATGGTTGCGCGGAACGGAGAAGGACCAGCGGCTGTGGTCGATAGGAGTCGGCCGTCTTAGGGCGGCGATGGGTCAGAACGACCATACCGTCTTCGCGAAGGTTTTTGACGCCGACGTGGCGGTTATCCCACTGATATCGAGGTGAGGGTGTTCGGGGTCGTCGCGCGTGTGGTGCAACCTGCGTCGATTATGTGTTCTGATCTATGTCGACGTCCATTGTCTGTGCAGCATCGCACCGCTTCCGGGAACACATTGCAGCGTCATTATCATCCTGTGCCCCGGCGACTTGTTGAAGGCATCGGGCCAGTTGATCAGGACCTCGATCCGGCACGCCGACCCGCAGACTGTGAAGGAGTGGCACATCAAAGAGGCGAAACGCGTGCTGGAGTGAGCTCAATAGTGTAGTCGACGCCGCTTGCGTTGTCAATGTTTAGCGTGCACCGTGCTAACTGACCGTCTGTGCCATGCTTTGCAGGTTTTTCCGGGCGGCTGTAATGGCCGAGCTTCGGCGCGAAGGTAGGAAATGGGACTGGGCGAAGCCGTCCGAGGAGGAGGTGCATGCGAGGCTCGCCGACTGCGACGAACCCCTTCGAGATGTGAGTTTCGTACGTTTGGTGTCAATTCCTTGCGCGATGCAACTGCCGTTCGTCCTTGCGAGATGCGACTGCCGATCTCGGTGCTCATATCAGCGCTCTCCTGTGTTGTGTGCAGAAAGTGCCCGACACCGTCCGGGACGGGGACGCGGGCTCCGGCCTGCTAGCAATGAGCGCGTTGCTCTGGGCGGTGAGGCGGAAGGATCGGTTGGCCGGCGCCCTCCGTCGCAGTGCCACCAGCATGGACAAGGTCGCTGTTGCGGGGTTGAAGGGGCTGCGGACTGAGATGGTAGCCTTCATCAAGAAGCAGGTCGCGCTCATACGGTCGGGCCGAAACGTAGTTGCGGCCGACGTCTGTGACGACGACGGCGAGGAGGTTCAGTCGGCGCCCCAAGCTGGCGGTGTCGCCCCTGCCGTCGCTGATGCGCGTGGCACCTCGGTCGGGAAGCCGGGTAGCGGCGTCGACGAGGCCGATGCGGCAGCAGGACATGGGGTGTTCGGGACCGAGGAGAAGCATAGGGACGAGGATGATGATGGGGTCCAGGGTCGTGAGGCGGATCGTGAGGATGAGGGGGGCTCGGAGGAGTCGGAGTCGGAGTCGGAGTCGGTGTCGGAGTCGGTGGAGGAGCAGGAGCAGCAGGAGCAGAAGAAGCAGGAGCACGAGAGGCAGCACCACGAGCAGCAAGAGGAGCAGCATGACGAAGAGGTGGACGTGGAAATGGCGGAGGGGAACGTTGCAGAAGGAGCGGCGGAAACGGGTGGGAGATCGGCGGAAATCGAAGGAGAGGGGAAGGGGGCGACAGCGGAACCCAGCAAGGAGGTCGGCGAGGAGGCGGCTCACGGGGGGAGTGGGATGGTCGTTGTCGGCGAAGGGAAGGAAGTTGTCGACCTCGAGGCCGACGAAGATGGGGATTTCGCCGCGGCGACGAAGCAGACGGGCGTGGAAATGCATACCGATGCTACCGCAGAGAAGGCCGGGGGGGAGCGGTCCAGGAAAAAGAAGGCGGTGAGCGGTCATCCAAGTTCCACCGCAGTTGGTCGGCAGGCGATGCCGGACGTCGTCGAGCAGCTGCGTGCGGAGAACCGACAATTGCGTGCCGACAATGCACGCTTGCAACGGCAGCTCGGTGATCAGGCGGGGCGGGTCGACTGCTTGGCGGCGGCGGTAGCTGGGATCCTCGACAAGCTCACGGCATTGACCGCCCAGGTTGCGGACACCGACCGGAAATCGGTGGAGCGCCTCAAAGAGGCCACGTCGACCATGGCGGCCACAATCACCGAGGACCTCACCAGCAACCTGGAGAACGCAGTTGAATCGGGCAAGAGGTTTGCCGAGCTAGCGAGGCAGATGCTGCTGGATATTGACGCCCCCAACGGACGAATGGCGGTCGCTCGAGCGACCGCGGTGGACCAATTGGCCGACCACGTGACGGGTGAGGTGGGTGAGGCGAGGAAGGCTTTGGAGGAGACGTTCATAAAATACATCGGCGCCGCGCAGACCAACATTGCAGCCGCCGTGTCTCCCCGCCTCGTCGTGCAGCCGCCGCCGCCGACCACCCCAGCGCAGGCCTTGCCGGAAGAGTTCCTGAATTCATTCAAGGAGGATCTGCTGAAGGCGGTGACGGAGGTCACGCAGCAGTCTTTCCTCGCCTCCGGTTTGAAGATAATGACCGAGATGGTCGGCACTGTGGCGACCCAAGCTCGGCGTGGGTCGTCGCCGTCGGCCAACGACGCCGGCCATGCGCAACCTATGGAGGCCACGAAGCAGGGTCTGAAGAGGGGGGCAGGCGGCGGGGGGGGCGACGGAGACGACGCGGGGAGCACGAAGCGGAGCAAGGGAGCGGGGGGTTCTCGCGTCGCCGGCGACGGTAGCAAGAAGGCCGGAGAAGGGGATGGAGACGATTCGGCGAGCGCGAGGCAGACCAAGGGAGCGGTTGGTTCTCGCGTCGCCGGCGATGGGAGCAAGGGAGCCGGGGAAGGCAGTTCGGGGAAGCAGTCGGGGAAGAGCGTGCTCGACATGCTCAAGAAGCACTGGGCTGGGGTTCGAGCGGCCAGCACTGATCAGGGTGGTGGGGGTCCCGCCGACGAGCATGCCACTGATGACGCACTGCCAAGGGCTCCGCCTTCGGTCGCCGATAAGCCACCACGACAGGGTAGCGGTGAAGAAGGGCTGCGCGACAAGGAGAAGGCGGCCGCAAAAACGGCCCCAGCTGGCCAGGGCCCGAAGACAGGGGTCGCGGTGGCGTCAGCGGTTCCTCACCAGCCCCCAGCTGGTGCACGCCCTCCGACCGGACCGTCTGCCGGGCGACCTGCCGACGTCCCGGCTGCCGACAAGGCTGGCCGCGCGGGGAAAGGGGCGGCAGTTGCGGACGCGCTCAAGGAGCAGCTCAGGCGCCTAGCCGGCCACAAGGCTGTTCAACAGCCCCCCGCTGCTGTCGACGCCCCATCTGCCAGTGTCCCAAAGTCGCCGGTCGTCGCCGCCCGTGCTCCTGCAGACCCAAAGTCCGCGTTGCTGCGCGCCCAGTTGGGCGCACTAGCGTCGACTGCGCCAACTCAGCAGGCTTCTGCCTCCGGCGCTAAGACGTCGTCGGCAAAAGTCGCACCACCCACCCCTGTGGCAGCTGAGGTTGAGAAGGCGGCGGAGAAGGGCGTTCGTGCCGCCCTTGCCACCGGCGGCGGCCCCGTCGAGCAGGCGCCCCCCGATGCTGATATCGCTGCCATACAGGCCCACCTGGATGCTGCCAATCCCCGACCGCTGGCCATCTCCGACACGGCACATGTGGAGCCTTCGGCGGGTCTCGTCGGCAGTCCAGCAGAGCCGACTGCGACCGGTGATGCTGTCGGCGATGAGAAGGCGAAACGGAAGGGGAAGGCGGGCTCACAGAGGAAGACGCGGGAGAAGTCGGAGGCGAAGGCGGCGGATAGAGGGAAGGGGAAGGCGGCTGAGACGGCGGCTGACAAGGATGGAGGCGGCAATACGGGGGTGAAAGGGAAAGCGGGGGAGAATCAGAAGTCGCTCG